AATTTCCAGATGCAGAGTTTTTTTGATTTTTTTTTTTTTTTCATTCCTTGGAAACATGGATTCCAAGCCAGGAGGAAGCAATAAAATCTCTATTTCTAGCAGTGGATTAGCCTTGTTCCCTGCAGGCTTTGCAAGCAGCAGCCTAAAGGCTCTGAGAATTTTGGGATCCGCTTCTGTAGTTCATTGACATGCTCCTGACACGGAAGGTTTGATTTAGTAGTGTTAAGTTGATGTAATGGTGCTGTGAGCTCCTGAGCTGTTGTTGAACTCTGGGGCTGGAGGTGACTGAGAGCAGTGAGCAGCACTGTCAGTGTGCAGGGCTTTGCTGTGGCACACCAGGACATGAGCCCAGGTAGGGAACATCTGGCTGAGCACAGATGTGCTCAGTGGAGGAGAAAAAGGTGGGAATTCTGACTAAAGAGCCATTTCTGCTCTTGGGGATTATCTGCTGAAGATTTGTTAAGTTCTAGTTTTGTTCCCTCCTTTTTCTGTACCTTTGCTAAAAAAGCAGAGCACTGAGAAACACTGGTTTTAAATATAACCCTTATATATTCCTCCTCCCTTTATCTATGAGGTGACTTTACATGGGGTGAGGGAATTCTATTTTCTCACTCTTTGAAATGATGGTAAAACCGATAGCATCAACCTTTCCAGGGGGGTGAGTGGAGAGCAAAGAATTCAGATGGACTGAGATATTCCAGGGTCTGGCAGAGTTGCAGTGTTGCTGCTGGGAAAGCAGACTCTGATCTCTATTTGATCTTGGCTCCTCTGAGACCTGACAGATTTGTAAGTCATAGCCTTTAGCTGCTGCTTTGATTGTGAGGGCAAAGTGCTGGAACGAGGTTTTGTTCTCAAAACGGAAAGAAAGGAACAAGAATGAAAAAGTGTGTATAAGGAGGCAGGGAAAAAAAAAACCAAGGCCAAGTGTAATTCCAGACAGCAGGAAGGATATAACTGGAAACTTGAGCTACTAGTAAAGTTGAAAAATGAAAAAGGGGAAAAAAAAAAAAAAAAAAAAAGAAACATTTGTTTGGTCCATATTATTGTGAGCTCATGGGCTTTCTCCTTTCAGTCTCTTAAAATTGGGCAGTTTTGATCCAAAATCACCAGAACACAAATCTTGAGGTGGTGGGGGGAGCTTTGGGGTTTGCCTGGAGCAATAGGGAGGAATCTTCCTGCTCACTGTAAGAGCAGGCTCAGCATAAAGTGAGGTTTGGAGCTTCCATCTGGGAAACCCCATGGAGATGGATGGATTTGCTGTGCAAACCTGAGCCCTGTCTTGAAAAACGTGCTGGGCAAATGTGTCCCTTTGTGCCACGTAGAATATGGCACTCAGGCTTCCCTTAATGCTTTTGTTTGGCATTTGGACTTTTAAAAATCCCTCAGCCCCGCTGTGGACACAGTCACTAGCAGTGGAATTATTCTGGAAAAATCTCTTGCTGCTTTTTGTTCCCCCTATTCCTCCCCAGGGTTTTTGTCAGTTCATCTTTGCTTTGCTCTGTGTTTCCTCCAAAGGGAGTTACTTGAACTCAGCACCTTGAGACATTTAAATGTCTAAAACCAGCTGTTGTGTAGGCAGCTGAATTCACCCAGCCTGTGTTTCCCCACCAGCATTCCCACTGGACAAGAGGTGGGATGTGCTATGGCCAGCCTGGAGCCACATGGTTTGGACTGGCTTGGTAGGCTCAGGCTATGGATGTTATTAGCAAGGTTTTTCCAGCATTTGTATCTGTTGGAAACTAATTCAGGATGGGTTTTTTTTTTCTGGTTCAATTGATAATTTTCATTAAACTTTCAAGAACCTGAAAAATAGGAACAAACTGCTCAAAGTGAGCGCAGGGAGGAGTAAAGGAGCCCAAAATGCTGGAAGTGCCTGAAGGAAGATTTCTTTACCATGACTACTCAGGTGAAACCACAACCCTGGGATTTATGGTTGGATTTGATGATCTTAAAGGTGTTTTAAAACTAAGATGATTCTACAGTTCCACTCACTCAAAAGCTTAGTGGATTCTAAGAAAAAGCTTTGAAAATATCCAGCATTGCCCTGGTGGATCTTGGCAGCTTTGGAGTGGAAGTGGAGAGACAGAGGTAACATTTAGTGCCAGGTTCTTGTTCTTCCTTGACCATTTCCTGCCTGGAAGGTGGACTTGGTGTTCTCCAACCTGAAACTCTGAATTTATCTGCTGGAACTTGTGAAGCTGCTGTAATTCTTGTGGGGGTCAGGGCTTTTCTTATGATTTCAGTAGCTCTACCAGGGCAATTATGTGACAGCATCAAGGGGTTTTGGGGAGGGAATCCTCCTGACAGGAAAAACAAGTCTGAAAATTTGAATGCTAAAAGCAGTAGAAAGGCAAAGTCACTATTTTGGTTGCAAAAACCCCAGATTTGTGCAGTCAGTCTCCAGACTCTTTCGGGACTTGTAGTAGTGTGGTTCTATATTTCCTCAAGCAGTCAAAATCCTTCATGATTTTTCCTGTGTCTGCATTCCACTCACAACAGTGTTTTATTAGGAACCTTCCACTGTTTTGTGTAGTTCCTAAAACACTATTACTTGTCACATTTTATTTTTTTTTTCTTTTTTGCCTTGGAAGTGATCAATTGTTGGGAGACCAGAGCTTAAAATACCTGTAAAGTGTCTGAATTGGAGCAACTGTTGGTGCAGAGTAGGCTGTGAAAGCACACAAATTGAAACATTTCTCATAACCTTATTGGCTTTTCCCAAAAATTATTACACAGTTCCAGGAAATTAAATATAGCATTTCTTCACTGAAAATAACTGGGTATAAATAATGCAAAACAAAGAGGAGGAGAAGTATATGGGGAAGAAAAGCTGGGAGGGGAAAGAAGCACACACAGTAAAGAAGATTATGTCCTACCCTGGAATTTCAGAGGACACACTGACCCTGGTCAGTATTATTAATATATCTAAGCCCTGAGCTCTGTAGGCGTAGGGCACAACCTTACTCAGTAATTCAGGAAATCCTTGTGTTTCCCTCTCTGTTTTTTCCATCAGACCTTAAAACTTTGAGCTTGGGTTCTCACCAAAGCTTCCATGTGATCCAGAAGTTTGTGTGACACGAGTGTGAGCTTGGGGTACACATCCCTGCCCGGGAATTTTCCTGGGTGCTCGTGGCCGGTGATGCACAGAGTGGCAGGAGCTGCAGTCAGGACTGCCACATTCACAGTCTGTCCTCTGCTGTATTCCAGCTGCAGCAGAGTTTTGTGGCAATGAGTGAAATCTTGTGTATGAAAGCTATTGCTTTCTGATGTTTGAAATGGTGGTATCTGATAACGTGAGTATGAATTGATTATTGCTATATTAAGCTTAAAACTTAAGTGTAAGGGTCTCCTGTTAATCTCTTTATTTCTTTCATATCCTAGGAGTGCCTGAGACCTGCTCAGGGTTTGAGATCTCTTTCTTAGTTGTCAAACAGGCGCAGAGGAAAAACTTGAGACCACAGCTCAGTGTCCTGGCAGGTCACAGAGTGTTAGTGACTTAATCCAAACTGCATCTTGGTGCCATTTGTTCTTGCAACTGTGTGCCACTGTAGTGGTTACTACAAAACACTGTAAATAATCTGTGAAATTCAGAATCTGGCTATTACTCGTTACCAAGTGTGTTTACATCACTTTTCAGCTGTTACAATTCCTAGACTTTGTCTTCAAGTTTTGTTAAAAGCTTTATTGCTGAAAAGAAGTACTGGGAAAGGTCATCTTGTCTAATCATAGAATGGTTTGATGGAAAGGGACCTTAAAGATGATCCAGTTCCACTCCTGTGCCATTGGCAAGGACATTTTCCACTAGACCAGGTGCTAGAGCTTCCAGCAAGAGGCACATTGTAAAAGCTTTGTCTTGTTGTAAATGCATGAGATTTGCAAAAAACAATTCTTCCATTACATGTTCTTAATAATTTTGTATCAAATACTCTTGCTAACCCTTAGCAGGCTTTTAGTATGCACATAGATGTTTTTAATACCTCCAGCATTCAGAAGGATTTTTAATGATTTGTTCAATAATTGATGGAGCTTTGACATAATTTAGGCTTTTGTGTGAGATGGCAGGCAGATGAGTAGAATATATTTAGTTGTTTAGTTCAGTCATCCCTATCTGTGAATTCTTTAGGTGAAAAGCAGAATGAAGGAATGGAACAAGTGAGAGAACCACTTGGAGAAAATTATCCCCTTAACTGAAAACTGGAGAAAGCCTTAGTTAACCTATTAATTCATTGCTTAAGTGTCTGCAAAGTGTTTTCTGAGCAGTAACAGTCATTACCTTCCAGAATTGTGTGTGGTTATATGGACCTTTATATTTACATTTATTTCCCTGCTAGCCAATAGATTCAGTTTCTCAGCTCATTTCCCTTAGTCTTGGTGAAATAAAACAGAAAACAGGAGCTGTCCCCTTCTTGTCTTCTTTTAAATACTGAAATCCTATTTAATCTTTGATGTTAAATCCAGATCTGTAGACACCAGTCTACTTTGACAGGTAGTAAGAAAAGTACCCTTTAATGGGGAAAACCACACTGAAAATGTTTAGATTTTGTCACCAGTTATATAAAATTGCTGGGCTCTTTCTGATAAAACCAGAAATTTGCTTAACCTGAAGTCCTGGCTTTTAACTGGGAATCAGTTCTATTGCTCACTTACTTCAAAAACAAATAAGCCAAAACTCCCTCAACTCCAAGTCTTTGCTAGGGCACAAGTTGCTACAAGGGTTAGGAATTTAATATAATTTCAGTGAAGAAAGGTGTTTGGAGTCTTAAAGTGTAAAAATGGTAAGTATTGGGTACTTCTGAACTAGAAACAAGCAAACAAGCTTGGGATTTTCCATTAAAAAGAATCAAAAGAAGTCCTATTGTATGTGTTTACCCAACCTTGTAATAACACGTTATGATACACTGCTTTTCCTGATCATAGCAAAGGTGTTTATGTAGCAAAATGAATTTGATTACAGTATTTTTGTGTGTAATAGATTTTTTTTTTTTTTTTAAATCCACCAGGCAATCAGCTCAAAAGGTCACCACAGTATCTCTTTCACCTTATCCAGAAGCCAGACAGTTATAGTGGAATATATTCATGACAAAGATACAGACATGTTTCAGGTAAGGCTCTAAAACACTTGGATTGTGTTTTAAAAGCAACATTAAAAAAACCCAGTTCTGCATTATCCTCTGGGTATTCTCTGTGACCTGTGGGGTTTCCACAGTCTGACTTGGCTTTGAAATTTTATTCTGCTCTTTGCAAACCCACACCAGCATCTGTTATATTTTTACTGACTTACTCCTTTAATTGTACTCTGCCTTTTCTCCAAAGACAAACTGTACTGGAGAGAAATGAGTGCTCTGTTTGGATTCATGAATGAGCACAGAATTACACCCACCACCCTCCAGTTAATCACGTAGCTGGAGTAAAAAGGAAGGAGTAGGGCATGGGATGGAGAAAGAGGAAGATAAAAGGAGCTGTGCAGTAGAGGAGATAAACCAGTGATAAATTAATAATAAACTCTTCCTGAGGAGTGTGCAGATCTCTCAGGTGGTGTAGGGAGACTGGGCTGAGTTTCTCTAAGCTCCCATCTATTGTCCAACATGTGCTCAGTATCCCCTGCCTGCATTTCTGTTTTTCTGTATCATTTAACATTCTGCTAACCTGAGTGATTTTCTCGTGCCATGGTTATTTTTATGTATAATAAGAGAGAAGAAATTCTGTGTGAACTTCAAACCTGGGGAACCCAAACATGCCAAACAACCTTTTTCATTCTAGACTGGTCCAGGTCTGTGTTGTCTTTGACTTCTAATTAGAGCATCTCACCAGGAATTGTTATCCCTCTCATTCAACCTTTCATATTTGGAAGGGTCAGCAATTGAGAGCTGTTGACAGAGAGGAAATAACTCTTTGGAGGTGTTGTTGCTTCTCTTGACTTCTGTGTTTTTTTCTATATTAAATTTTCCCAGTGTGACTGAAACTATTAGGTCCAAATAGGAATTGATTAAAACCCAGTCTTACTCATTTGCTGCAGAATGAAGGATTGAACAGCCAGGGTGAACTGAAATAGGTTTTTCTGTGTTGACTAGTGAAAGAAAAATGTAACCCATCCAGTGGGGTGACTGTGTGATGCTTCTTTAGCTCTTGAGTAGCTACAGTAAAATTTTTTCCCTGTATATAAATTTCGAAAAGCCATTTTTGAAAGCTGGATTTTTTCCCTTCATGAGTACAGTAAAAAATGAATAAAGAGTTGCAGAACAGCTGCTTTTTCTGGGCAGATTGTAAGAAAGATGTTTGTCTATGGCATAATGTCCTAGTGGTGGGTACAGTTTTTTTTGGGGGGGATAAGACACCATTTCAGTCTTTGGATGTGTGGGAGTCCTGCTGTGACCTCTGGTGCTGTGTCCTGGTTCAGGTTTCTGCTCTCTGGCTGTTTCCTGAGGACTGCATTCCATGCACTGGCCTGCAGGGGCTGATGCTGGGGAGAGTGGAAACAGATTGGTCTGGTGGACTGTGGCAATAATTCCCAATGCCAGAGCAATTGAAGAGGTTTCCACTATTTATATGAGCCATTAAGTGTTAACTGGTCTCATGAATCTGTTGGAGAAAAGTTACTTGAGGGTGTTTAGTGCAGCCCTGTGGTACATGGTGACAAAATTCATGTCTGTTAATCCACAGAGTAGAATTTCATTGTTGGTCAGACAGTTCTTGGAGTTTGATGTTTTCTTTCAAGTGTGTGTTACTGGCTTGTGTAGGGTGTGGAGGTTGAGAAGGGGATAATAATTCCTGGACCACAGGATTATCCTGAGCCTTGAAGCCCCACTTTGACTGCAGTTAACATGTATTATCCTGGGCAAATCATGAGGCTTTTTGTTCTTTATTCCCACTGTTGTGCTTCTTGAGCTGTTGTTCTGTTGTGTTGTTTGTAGTTTTGTTTTTTTTTGTTTTTTTTAAATGTAACTATATTATGAAATCTTTGTGTAAATGCTGCTATGCACCTTTGTCTCAGTGACATCCAGGTCAGATTTCTTCATTTAATTACAAAAAGAATGTACAAATGTGTTCCTCTGGCATCCCCCATACTCTGTGCTCCAGCATCCATGTGCTGCTATAAATGAAGATTTTCTTCAGAGTTTAACCATTCTGTTGATGATGCATTAGGTGAATTCAAACCTGTTCCTTCATGGTTTGATGGGGTGAGAATGGGTTGATTATACCTGTTCATACCATTATAAAGAACCAAAATGTGCAGCTCCTACCCTAGATAGCTACAAGTTTATACAAGAAGCAGGTACATTCAATACGAAGCATTGATTTTTTTTCTGAAGACTGGCCCTTCAGAAGATGCAGAATCCAATTCTCGCTTTCACCAGAGTGAAATTCTTTCGAAGCCCAAGAACCTGCAGCTGTTAAACTCTGCTGGCAGGCTTTTCCTTGTCAGGAGCAGTGTTTTACTGACAGCAGCAAAGCAGGGAGTGCCTGCCTCTCACAGCTTTGAACAATCACCTGCAGAGGACACAATGCTCGCTGCCTCTGCAGCACCTGGCACATTGATGAGTTCTTGTTGGAAGTAACTTAGGGAAATCATACGACACAATTAACAAGAAGGGTCCCAAAATACAGCCTGAAATTTGCTAGAAAGAAGAAAGTCTTCTGTGCTGTGGAGAAAAATGAGTAATGAAGTGTGTAAAGAGCAGCTCTGAATAATGGACTTGGTCTGTAGTGACTGCAACAGCAGATGAGTTCAAAGTTTTGGAGGGTGGATGTTGACAGCATCAAGTTTTTCATTTATTCCTTAGGCACTTGCTTTTCAGGTAATCTCAAAATCAAATTCTTGATTTAATACAGAGCTTGAGAAAACTGCCAGATTTTGAAGGCCACTTCAAATAAATTCAAATGCTGAAAAGTAGCACAGTGCATTAGACTGATCCTCTAGAAGGCTTTCTCAACTGGAAAAGGAAAGAAAACCAAATACTTAAAATATTTGATTTCGCATAGACATGTGTCACAAACGAGATAAGTACTTAAATGTTTATATAAAATACATATCATTTTGAGATTTAAAAAAGCACATAGATGCTTTGTTTGTAGAGCTTAATGGTTATATCCAAACAAATTTGAATTTCATGGTGAGTGATTAGTGGGATGTAAGAGGCTGGGAGCACACATTTGTGTGCTTTGTCATCCTTTAAGGAAAAATGAGGCAATTTTTTCTCTAATTGCATTTAAAAGCTTGGAGAGAATGATCTATTTCAGAGACTGCAAGAGGCAAAAACTTGTTATGAACAAATTAATTTCATATTTGTTATTGACTATCCTTTAAGAGACTCCACATACAGTGAGAATAGTCAAAAGTTATTCATGAGGTTCCTGCTTCTGCTGCTCAGTGCTGCCTCTTAGCAGGAATTGCTTTGGATGGGAAATAGAAGCCTGGTAGAAACAATACTGTAAAAGGAAGAGGGATATTGCTTTGTAAGATTTAGCTTCAAGTTGTCAAGTTATATAAATCAGAAATATCCCATATTAAATAGTTTCTAAACTCTTTCTCCTGGGTATTCTAGTAGACACTTACTGTGAGAAATTGAAATGTACACTTTTGATTAGGCCTCGTTGAGTATTTCCTGTGCAGGGAGCTCATCCCATTTTCTGCTTGTGCTGAGCCCTGTGATACAGAGGCAGTAACTGGATGTGTCATTGGAGACATGAATTCTGACATGTGTTAGAGTGAAACCCTGCAAAGCAGAGCTTGAAACAGGAGAGAAGTACAGGAGAGATCCCTGCACTATTTCTATCAATCCCATCGTGACAGGGCTTAGGTGTGGATAATATTAATTTCCTTGACTCTTGAACAATGTTTCTTTAAAGCAGGTTTAGTTTGCAGAGATGTTTGTTAATGATGGAAGCATACATGGCTCCCCACAGCTGGCTTTCAAGAGCAAGATCTGAGCAGAATGGAACTTCTTGGGGGACAATGAGATCACATTTAGTGAGGAGGTTATTTAATACCAATGTAGCTACCTGATACTGAAGGTAGTTTTGTGTGAAGAGTATTCCTAATTCAGTTTGATCACAAGGTGTCTGTAAAATTAATATTCTGTTCCACTTCTTGTTCCTCAGCTCCACTTTCCCAGTTAAGCTCAAAGTTGGTGTAACACTAATTTGCCTGTAGAAATATTGATAAAGCCTCACTGTTTGTCTGGCAGTCAGATCCTTCCATCCATGCAGTCATGAGTTTTCTGTCCCAGATGTTTCCGGATTTAAAATTTAAAATTTTTAGCTGTCAAGATAGAAAAATATTCCTGTCTCCTGATAAGTGTGTTTCCTTTCTGCTCAACTCAAGGAAGTTTTTTTAATTCTGTTAGTCATGCATGTGCATTATTAGGAATAAATTTCATCATATGGTGGGTTTTGCCTGAAAACTCTTCTTTCTGGGACTACAAATCCTGAAAACATGAAGGTGGGTAGCTCTGTGTTATGACATATAAAAATAACCAAGTTCTGGATCTAAAAAAGTCCTTTATTTTCATAGCGAACATATTTGGAACTGTAAAATGTGAATTAAACTCATCAATCCAAGCTAGTATTTTCTTAACTGACAGAATGTAGTGGCAAGCAATTTGCTGTGGTTGGATGAGGAAACAGCAAGGTGATAATACTTTTTTTGGTGACAATACTCTTATCAAACTGATCAGCTGTGTTGATTTATTTCAAGCAAACATGAACATCCCTTGTGGTAAGCAAAAATTTGTCATTCCATATTTGTGATGTATTTCTGCCTAGGACAAATGTGGAAATACATGTTAATCTCTGGTTGGATCTTGCCATCCAAAAATTCAGCAGACAGAAATATTAACCTGGTAAAACTGTGTCCTTAATACTTCATATTTCTCTGGGTATTTCTAGTTATACCAATATCTTAATTTTTTTGCAGGTTGGGAGGTCTACAGAAAGCCCCATAGACTTTGTAGTAACAGATACTATTTCAGGAAATCAAAATAATGATGAAACCCAGATTACCCAGAGCACCATCTCCCGATTTGCCTGCAGGATTGTTTGTGACAGGAGCCCACCATACACAGCAAGGATCTTTGCAGCTGGCTTTGACTCGTCTAAAAATATATTTCTTGGTGTAAGTACTGCTAATAATGATGGTATGAGCAAGCTCTGGTTTATATTCTGTTACTTTCAAGCCCCCAAATCTCCTTGTACTGGTTGGGAACTTGTACTGTCATTAGACTTTTATTACTCCGATGCACCAGCTGCAGTGTTGAGTAGAAACTACAGGTTTATGTGCCTGAGTTATCACCAGCAGAGCCTCGTGGTCATAATTGTCTTCAGCAATGAAGCTGCACTTTAGTAACTGTTAGTGGGTTTTCTTTAGGTTGGTTTGATGTATTTCTGGTAGTCACTGTGACTGTCACACGTAGGAAAAAGCAGCCAAGTGGAAAAACCCCGATGGCCACATGGATGGATTGACAACCAATGGGGTGCTGGTCATGCATCCCAAAGGAGGATTCACGGAGGAGTCCAAGCCCGGAGTGTGGCGGGAGATCTCCGTCTGTGGGGATGTGTACACGCTCCGGGAAACCAGGTCTGCTCAGCAGAGGGGCAAGCTGGTAGGTAGCTAAAATTAATCAAGGTGTAGTTGTTTTCCTGGCTTGGAATGGCAGCAGGTACAGGGTGACTGTTCCTGAGTAGTGGGCACTGCAAGCAGCTGAGTGTGTGTGTTACAGCAGATTCTGCTCTTCTGTTACTGGTTGTATGGGAGAACACTCCTAAGGTCCTGCTAATGCCACTTTTCCAACTGAAATAGCACAGAGTGTAAAAGCTCTGTAAACTCTGCTCTGGAGTCTCCATCTCTGAAATGTTCTCCTGGGACATGTGTGGAAGCTGCTGCATGGGGAGCTGCCTTTGCAGTACTGCCAGAACCAGTCCACTTTTGTGCAAAAGCAGTTTGAGTAAGGCAGCTTCTGTTTGATTTACCTGCCACTGGGAAGATAAGAGCAGCCCTGGAAGTATATTCCTGTTTTCTCCTGTGAGGCAGGACGGGCTTTGCCTTTCCCAGAAGTGAGAGATTTCAGCTGCCAGGGACCTGTGACACATAAAACTAGGAGAGAAGTTCACTGAACTGACTTTGCAACTCTGCCATTGGCTTTGCAGAAAACTGAATGCTGAAAGAGTTAGGGGAATGGAGTTGGGCTGTTCTGCTTTCAGCAGACACCCTGCAGGACATAAATTGCTTTGTCACACTGATGGTGGCGGGCAGATGTTGCCTGGGGACCTGGACAGATGATGTGGCAATTGCAGCCTTTGTACGTGGTTAGCAAAACACCTTTTTAGTGCTGCTAAAGAGAGGCACAGCAAAACAAATGAATCCCCTCCCTGCATCCAAAATGACTTGAATTCTCATTTAAATAAAATTGCATGGCACACTGGTATTGATGTGATCAGTATTCGTTGATTGGGTTCATAAAACCAAATGCAGGCTGTATAATGAATTGAACACGTTGCATATGAGGGAGCTTTTTGCTTTGCTGTTTGTGAGGGAATTATCTGAAAGGAGCATCAGATCAAGGCTTCTCTCATCTCTACTTGAAACACTACATTTTTCTGCTGGAATTACTTTGCACTGGTGACCTCTTATCTGTAGTCTGTATTGTACCACTGAGGTGTTTTGTGCAAGGATGATCCACAGTTAATCTGTGAATTTAAACTGGATTAAAATGTAAATGCTAAATTGGTTGTCATTCATAGTATTCTTAGGCAGATGTGATGATTTCATGTGACCTACTTAATGTATTTGTTTGTATTTGGCTGTTTGTTCTGCATTAGTCGTGTTTTCAGCATCCTTTCTGTGCATAAAGCCAGGCAGTAGGTCTGTTTTTATTTTTAATTTTACAAAGCCTTTTTAATATATATTCATCATTAATGAACTGATAGCAAAAGCACGGGTTGCTTATATGTTTGTGACATTAAAATAAGGAATATTTCACTCAAGTACAATGTGTGTTTGGCATAATCCCATGAAAATGATTTAAGTACCTGCTTTTAATCAGAGAGAAGCCTTTAGGCAGTGCACGCTGGGGCTGTGTTTGCTTGGAATACCTCATTAAATAAAAGGCCTAATGAGTGGGGTGGGTAATTGTTCATAAGCTGAGCCTGTGTGGCTTCAAATTTGTCACCTGAGAAATTCAGCTGGTAATTCTGTCTGCTGCAGTGCTAAGCTGTGCAGGTACCTGTGCTGCTCATGCCTCTGCAAAATGCTTGACCCTTGCCACAGCCCCAGAAAAAATGGTATCTGGCCTGTCCTGGGTAGCAGTTTTTAGTCCAAAAAGGACTTTTTTTTTACTGTGTGAGCAGCTTCTGTCAGTCTATGTGGACAAAGACTTCCAAGGGAGAATTTGCTAATGCAGCCCTCAAGGAATGGCATGTCTTTTCTTCAGTCTATCAGGACTTACTGAAATATGACAAAGGCACAGAGAATCAATATTGGAGTAAAAAAACGCGTGCTCAGGGGCCCACTGTGTATAATAATTTGTATTTCAACTGCAAATGCAAATCCCCTGTACAAGCACAGGGTAAGAGAGCAGTGCTCGTTATAATCCTGGATATAGGTTAGGAGGTGAGGTGGATTCAGGACAACAAGAAGACAAAATTAAGCGGCATCTGTGGAGGTTAATGAAAGGCGATGCGGTGTCTGTAAAAGCTGTCAGGCTAAACGGCCTCCCCTTGTGTCCTGCCACCAGGTAGAAAACGAGACCAACATCCTGCAGGACGGCTCCCTGATCGACCTGTGCGGGGCCACGCTCCTGTGGAGAACGGCGGACGGACTCTTGCACACCCCGACGCAGAAACACATCGAGGCCCTGCGGCAGGAGATCAACGCCGCCAGGCCGCAGTGCCCCGTGGGCTTGAACACCCTGGCCTTCCCCAGCATCAACCGCAAGGACGTGGTGGAGGAGAAGCAGCCGTGGGCCTACCTCAGCTGCGGCCACGTGCACGGCTACCACAACTGGGGCCACCGCAGCGACACGGAAGCCAACGAGCGCGAGTGCCCCATGTGCAGAACCGTTGGCCCCTACGTGCCCCTGTGGCTGGGCTGCGAGGCCGGGTTTTACGTGGACGCCGGGCCCCCCACGCACGCTTTCACCCCCTGTGGACACGTGTGCTCCGAGAAATCCGCCAAATACTGGTCCCAGATCCCGCTGCCTCACGGGACTCACGCGTTCCACGCCGCCTGCCCGTTCTGCGCCACGCAGCTCTCCGGGGAGCACAACTGCGTCAAGCTCATCTTTCAGGGCCCCATCGACTGAGAAATCGCTCGGCAATGACCACAATAAAAGTTTTCTTTGACGGTTTACTGTGAAGATTTTTGCCACTAACTCTAGATTTTACCTTTTTTTATAATGTTATTAATAGGGGTGGTGGGGTGGGGATGGGGGAAATGATGAGGAAATGGAGGGACCGTGGTGGAATTGGGATACATTGATACCTGAACACTGACAGATATCAGTGGTGTTGCATGCTCAAAAGCAGCATATTCATGGAGTCTTCTTGGTCAAATTGTAGTATATTTGTAATTTTTTATTAGTACCCTGGATCAGAAAAAGGTGTCTTAAATGATTTTTTTAAGCTAAGATTTTTTAATGGGAAGGTTTTTTCTTCTAAACTTTGACAAGCCTTTAAAACCTATTTTTCAAATCTAGAAGGAACATACAGAATGTAACTGTCTTTAATTTACAATATAATTTAACTTGAATAGTTTCTCAAGGAGCAAATACAGAATGTGTGGACAACCATAGGTGAATGTTCACTAGAGATAATTGGATACGTAAGAGAAAAATTAGCTGCTTAAAATGTAGAGGATAAAAGCTATTAAAATATCTATTATGGTATAACACAGCTGGCCAAAAAGGCATCAAAGATTACTTGAAACTGAGGAAATCCTGTTTGCATTGATTTCCTTTCAGTGTAATAGATATCCACTGGCTATTAAGTATGGGAGATGGCTGATTTTTTTTTTTTTAATTTTTTTTTTTCTCCATTTAACCTGCATCTGGTGAAACCACTTTACTCTTTTCCATACTTAGCTCTGGGGTTTAAGCTGATGTTCTGTCTTTGTGTAGTCTGGCCTTTTTATTTCTGCTCTGATCGCCCTCAGTGCTCCTTACCCAGCATCTTTGGGCGTGTGGAGGCCTCAGATTCCCAAAATGGTTTTGTTGGAAGGGACCTTAAAGCTCAGCAGTTCCAACCCCCTGCCAGGGACACCTTCCACTACCCCAGGCTGCTCCAAGCCCCATCCAGCCTGGCCTGGAACTCTTCCAGGGATCCAGGGGCAGCCACAGCTCCTCTGGGCACCCCAATGGAGCCAGAGACGTGTCTAGGCTTTACTGCAGTGATGAGGAGGTGGTGCCACAGCATGACACGAGGTTTAGGTACAGCTGGTACAGAATTCATTTACATAAACCTGAATTCAGGAAAGCACTTAGTCTGTGTTTAAATATAAGCCCACGGCTGGGACTGTTTAGATTCTCAAGAGCTTCAGTGCATTGTGGTTATTTGCTGTTACATTTGAAATAAAAGAAAAGCAATTTAAAATAAGTTATTTTTTAAGCTCACTTTAAAGCATTTTCACGAGAAGGGAGAGCATCATTTCCAGTTCAGCTGAGCATTTTTGTTCACTTTTCAACTTGCTGCCATCTGTCACCTTTTCTTTCGCAGATTGAGTTGTGTTTGTATCTCTTTTTTTCCCCCCAAATGTTTGCAAATCAAACAACATTCAAATGTAATCAAATACATGCACCAGGGTGGTACATCTGAAGTGGATCACTTGAAATTTGTGACTTTTTAAGAGAGCTGATAAATGTTTGCTATGGAAATAATTAAATCAGAATTTCATATGAGGTGTACCCTGCCCACTGTTAGGCTCATTTCACGTAGAGTGATAACTCTTTGATTTGTGGGGTATATATTTTCTTTATGCTTTCTGTACTCTTGGTATCTGAGGTATCAATCTATCCAGGTTTAAAAGGAAAAAAAAAAAAAAGAATTTGGGAGAAATCTATAACATCTCTAGATGAAATTGATCATTCAAGCTCAGTTCTGTTTAATCAACTATAGCTTTTTGCTATATTTGTGCCCTTTGTATAAATATATAATTTATATGATTTTAATATATTCTGTATATATATATACTTGAATTGGCCTGTTCATATTTTGGTTGTAAAATTGTTTTATAGTTAACCTTATAAACATTTTACATGTCCCTTGCCAGTGGTGATGGGATGGACTTTGTCTGCTGCTGTTTTTAATATAATTTTGCTGTATACATGTTCAGCATTTTAATAATTTGAAAATAGCTTTACTTTTCTTTTTATGCTTTTGCTGTTAAAAAAATATATATATATATAACTCTGCAGCATTTTTTTTCTAAAAGCCCCAAACTGTACAGTTTTTTGTCCCAATCAGTGATTGGAAACAGGAAAAACTTTATTAACCTACAACTATATGCTTCTTCCTAGTGCCTTTTCAAAGAGATCCTCTTGTGATTCCGTATTCCAAGTCCTTTTTCCCACAAGGCAACCTTGGGGCTCATCTCCACGAAGAGGGGGAAGAAACACCTTTGGCCTTCAGTTCTGGACGCAGAGGTGCCTCTTCCTCGCTCCTAAGCCCGTGCAGGTTCCTCGGGTCCCCCAGGGCAGCGTCATTCCTGCTTAGCAGATACCTCATCTGGGAGAGGCAGCCTCACTCCTCCCCTCCCTGCTGGACTCTGGAAATCTTCACCTGCTCCCCGCAAGAGACGCTCTGGACACGCCTGTGGGAGCTGCTCCTGGCTGGATTCAGGCCCTGGAGCTTCGTGTGCGGCATTCCCGGCTCCGCTGGCAGCCCCCAGGCTGAGCTGGGCTGGCTCTGCACATGGTGATGTCTCCTCTGAGCCCCCATGGATTCACCCACCTCCCTCCCCCAGCTGCTTTACTCCTTCCCCTGGCTGGTGCAGTTTAATTGCTGCTTCAGGGCTTCATATCCCTTCCTGCTCCCTGTGGAAGGTGAATGTACGGTGTTGGAAGAATCGTCACTGGAAACACAGCACACCATCAGGCTTGCTGTGTTTGGCTGTGTGAAGCAGAACACTGGCTAATGGTTTGTATCCAAGGGAAGTGTCTGTTTGAAACTGTTTAAACAAGATTTTTTTGGGGTTTTTTTTTGCTGTCAGCAGTTCTGTATAACACAAGGAATACTGCAGGAAGGAAGAGTCTCAGAATCCCAGAATGGGGAAGGCTGGAAGCGACCATGGGGGCTCATCTGGTCCCACCTCCCTGCTCAAGAGGGGCCATCATGGAGCACAGGGCACAGGATTGTGTCCAGACAGCTCTGGGATATCCTCAGTGAGGGAGACTCCACACCCCCTCTGGTCTCTGTTCAGGGAAGTTCTTCCTCATGTTCAGGTGGAACTTGTGGGCATCAGTTCCTGCTCGTTCCTCCTGTCACAGAGAGCAGAGCCTGGTCCATCCTCCTGGCACCCCTTTTAGATATTTATACACATTAATTAGGTTCCCTCTATCGTCTCTTCTCGGGGCTGAACATGCCCAGCTCCTTCAGCCTTTCCTCCTGAGAGAGAGACTCCTCTCTCTTCATCCTTCATCCTCCTGGGAGGATTTGCCCTCTGCTGTTGCTGCTCCAGCATCTCCGTGTCCCTCCTGTCCTGAGGAGCCCAGAGCTGGGCACAGAACTCTGCCTGGGGCTGAGCACAGGGGTGGGATTCTTTTCTGGGGAGCAATTCTCCAAGGTTTGAGTGGAATTCAGGGACTTTGCTGTTCAGATCCAGGGTCAGTCCCGCAGAGGTGGATTTGCTGGGGAGGCAGAAGTTTGTAAGATGATTTTCCTCAAACCCTGCTCTGGTGAAATGATGGAGCATTCAGCTCTTAGGCCTCGCCTTCCCTTGGCTCCAATAAACACCTCCTCTGCTCTGGTACCTCGATAAGAAAAAGGAGTTGGTGGATAAATAAAACTGGAGTCAGTAAACTTGAGAACCGCCCTCAAATTTATTCATTATTTCAGTGTTACGATGTTCCTTGCATCCCATTTCCAATGCTGGCAATGAATTCTGTAAGGATTTTTTGTCACCTGTTACTGTTGATTCTATTTGAATGCCTCAAAAGCAGCTTTGACTGCATAACTTAGAACTAAAAGTATTTTTCTAGTCTTTTTTTTTTTTTTTTTTAAAGATTATATCTGTCATATCCATGCACACTGGAGCTGGAACACTTCCCTTTTTCCTGGCAGCTTTTTGGGAGAGCGCTGAACTCTAAATAAAATGAGTGGTGAATGCTGTTCTTACAGGGAATTGTCCAGTTGTACAGGAGAATTCACACAAAACTGTGTTTTGCTCATTAATTTTTTTTCAAATGTGGTCATTTTGTGCATCAAGGTACAGTCATAGTACTGTACAGGCTGAATAATTAAAGAAGAATCCTTTTTTTCTATTGTGAGTGTGGGAATGGGGATCAGAAGAGATGAAAGCCGTGGTTGAGCTGGTTCCAGTAGGGACAGATCCACCTTGAAGCAAAGGCGTGCCCAGGAACTGCTTGGAAATGTGGCTGGAGCTGTTCCTGCTTTCTGACCTCATCCATGCTCTGCAAAGGATTCTCCTCAGTTTGTTGGGAAGTTCTGGGATGCCCTGGAAAGCCTGTGACCTTCCCAGTGAGACATTCCTTGGTGTTTTAATGGCACTTCCTGGAATTTGGAAGGTTTGGCTTCAGAGCCTGAGCGAGGAGCCAGAGGTGCTGAGTGTGTCATAGTGAGAAAATTCAATGGAACTGTGAACAGGACTTTAATTACATTTTAGTGCTCACACCACTCAAAGGCAATCTGGTTTGGCTGTGGTCACTCTCTCTTTAGTACTCTTGCAGTAGCTGGTGACTTCCTCACCATGTTTTCATTTTTCTGGAAGTGGAAGGAAACTTCTCCAAGACCATGGTGTTTCTGTTCCTCCATCCCACAGTCTTGACACTTTCCTGGGGTTGGAGAGCCACTGGCTGTGGTGAGGACTGGCAAGCATTTAAATCCATTTTTATCCTGGTAGGAAAACTGTCCTGGCTCTTCCTCCTCATTTCCTCCATTTTTCACCCTCCTGTGAGTCCTTGGCTCCTCATTTTCTATTTAGCCATGCAGTTGCAGGTACACAAATAAACACAGCTTGGAAGGAAAACAAGGAAAACACAACCTGGGGTTGCAGTGTCTTTTGACAGATTTTTCTCATGATTCTGGGTTTTCTAAGCACTCATCACAAGTCTGCACACTCGGTGTTGTGAGTAAAAGGACAAATGTAGAAGGTAAGGCTGGTTTTGGGGGGTGGAGAGGGGTTTCTAGGATGGAGTCACAGTGGCTCTGCAAACTGTGTCCCACTGAGTGCAGTGGACATTGGGTCTTGGAAGAGCAGTGGAATGACCCTGGACAGGCAGTAAAGACAGAGCTTTACTGTCTGTGCTGCTCAGTTTTCATTTATTGGCAGCAGAACGAAAAATTCCCAAAAAATAATGGGAATTCAGTTGTTGGACACCCAAACACCAGAAAAAACCCCAATGTCTGTCCAGATTTCTCTCACTGGGGGCAAATTTACACTTTCCTGGTGGACAAGCCAGTCTCCAAGTCACCTGAAGTCCCTTGTGCTGGTGTCCTGGGGATGAGGGATGGGAGTGGCTCTGCCCTTGGGTTAGATCCACGATGGAGAGCCCTTGGAAAAGCCTCTCCCACAGCGATGGAGCTGTGTGATGGAGGGGTGATGTTTACCTTAAAACAGTGTGAGCAGCTGTTCAACTTCTGGGTATCTTTGTAAAATTGGTCTTTTTATATGCCGTGTGAAATGGACTGGAATAATTTCTTTTGCTGTTGTACCTGTGGAAGTACAAGCCATTTTACAGGAAAAAAAAAATATAAAATTAAAATATTATCTCAGTATTGTCACTGACTCCTTCAGTTTATTTTCCCTGCTGGTTGGTTGTCAGAGCTTGACTTGATTTGGAAAAAAAAACCCATATAAACAACTTCAAAAATAAATGGTTTCTTTACTCTTTTATCCCCTTTCTCCTCAGCAAACAAAACCCAAAGCCTTTTGATTGAAGATTCTTAAATAGTGGAGGTAGTGGAGCGCATTCAGGTGTGAGTGCCCTGGAATTTCAGTCAATTCCCTTCCCTGATTTTTAAATTGAACCGTTTGTTTTCAGTGCCAGCTGCCTTCTTGCAGTGTTAACGTAATTGCTAAATAAAAACAATTTCCAGGAATAATATGCTTT